TGAAAAACTGAATAATAATGAATCACTGGAGAAAAATATCTGTGGCCAATTTTTAAAATTAATGGGAATGGATGCAACAGTTGACCCCATCTGCTATATTAATGTATTTCCTCCTTTTCTCATCAAGAGTTTTCATAAAATTGATATCTTTAAATGCTTCTGTGAACTGAATACTCATACTGTACTACATTATGACTTCTTATCATTCCATTGCAGGATGGGAATGTTTTTTTCACCAGGACTGCCAGTCCTGAATTTGCTGAAACTTGTGGTGCTGGCATATGCCAGGTTTTGGATTGTCACCACATGCAATGTTCCCCATGAGACTGTCTTCAGGGCATCGAGGTCAAACAATTTCTACTATGGATTGCTGTTGTTGTTTTTATTCTTGTGCACTTTGCCTGTTGGATACTTTGTGGTGAGACTCCCACCAAGTTGGCATTGTGGTCCATTCAGTGGATATGACAGGATATACATGTGAGTATGCATGAAAAACATTTTTATGCAATCATTTTTTATTATATATGGAATACTATGTTTGGTTTAATATGGCTCTCTAGCAGACATTCTACTAAATTTTGAATTCAAACCTTCAAAGTTAGGATAGATTGGCAACATGAATAATCATGAGGTTACTGTGTATTCACTTTGTTTGAAAAATGCATAAATTTTTCTGTCAGTAAGAGTTTTCCTCAAGAATATCTTTATTATTTTTTGAAAGGATATTGACAAGGAGGATCATGGAATCCGTGCCACAGTGGAGCCATGTATTCTTGGACTATATGACTTCAGCTGGAGTAGTGATTCCATTATTGGTGCTCCTCACTCTTTTCATCTACTACTTACTTTCACTGGCTGGTGCTTTAAGGGAGGCCAATGATGATCTGAGAATCCAGTTGAGAAGAGAAAGGACTGAAGAGAGAAGAAAAATGTTCAAATTGGCTGAGAAGAGGGACACAATTGGGGAAGACAGCAAGTGGAATGTTTTGCTACCAGCTCTCAAGTCCAGATTCAGTTCCACATCATCTAGGTCTGATGCTGAGAAGGAAGAGAGGGCAAAAGGTAAAAAAAAAATCAAATTTAAAATGTGAAATATTTAAGCCTTTGGGTGTAATTTTGACATAGAACTTGAAATTGCAATTCAGAAGGCTAGAATATTCAGTGATTTAATTTAGGAATAGTAATTTGTACACTGAAATAATATTAGCCTCCCCAATATTTTTGAAAGTTTGGCCAGCAAAACAAAGCAATTTTAATCTTCCCTATAATTTATTTAAAAACAATTAATGTTGTAAACGGGTGTCCCCAACCTGTGGTCCACAGACTGGCGCTGTTCTGCAGAAGCTTTTTGCCAGTCTGTGGGAAATTTTCCACAGCACAATATCGTACATTTATGAAAACTACTGTATCAATGAAGTCTATCATCTTTATTTGAAATTTTGGAGAGACAAAAAGTTGAAATCATCTGATGAAAGATGAAAGTTGGCTTTTCTCCTAATAATGCTTCAAAAAAAATTTCCCCCGCTGAAATAAATCATTTCAATTTTTCATTCTGAGAAACATCTCTTTAGGTCTATGTTTGTAATTTTTTAAAGGCATTCAACTGTAGCCACTTCATTGTCTCTGGATTTAAGTTTTGCAAAAAGAATACATTTTTGAAATACCCGTCATGAAGTCTTTCAACCTAAATTTTTTGAGTTGGAATTTTTTTGTATGAAACGTTGCTGGTCCACACAAATTTTTTTTAAATTTGCCAGTCTGCAAGAAATTTCACAGAAATTTGTCACTCTGCATTCTGCGAGGCAAAAAAGGTTGGGGAACAATATTGTAAGCCACAAAACCCTAGAAGCAACATCAAAAATCTGGGAATGAATAATAATGGAAAAAGCTTACATTTCCTGAGAATGACGAGTTTAGTTCACTGTTTGACGAATTTCCAGAGGTCCTGAGGAAGTACGTGAGACGCAGAAAAGCCCAAAAGCAGCACCTTGGTCTGGGTTCATACTTGACTCAAGCAGTTCATCCAAAAGATGATCATCAAGCCTCAAATCGCTTTCAAGCTCCAGTTTGACACGTCCATCTCTTACTTGACGTTGTCCCAGTAGGTCCAGGGTCCTTTTAATAAAATTTTTCGTCGTTTTTCTTATTCTCTTCTGGGTACTTTTGACTTCTTACAGGACGAGGTTGGGTTCACGTGAGTACATACTGAAAATTCTAATTGCCTTTATTTGAAACTAAATGAATACCGTTAATATTAGGTAAATTCAAACAAGGAATTACTACATGCTATTCAAAAATTTAGAAAAGGGAATTTGTATCACTTTTTTAATAACTGTGGTTGGGTTACAGCTTTTTCCACCTAGAATTTGATCATGTTTCACCACGTCAATGCAGTGGAACACTGCTTAAAAAAAATGTGGGAACAAGGAACTATTCATCCCCAAAGTTTCAACACCCTGTTGTATGAGTCTTTATGTCCTAACTTTTTTTTCAGGTACATTATGACAAAATGTTTCTGCTGGCCAAGCAGCAATGGCTGGGTTATAGCACATCTTTACCAGCAGTATTGAACTTCTGAAATGCAATTTCCACATGCTAAAATACAATTTTCATGCTCTGAAATATTTTTTCATCAACTGAAATTCAATTTTCATGTCCTGAAATTCAATTATTGCATGCTGAAATTCAATTATTACATGCTGAAATTCAATTATCACATGCTGAAATTCAATTATCACATGCTGAAATTCATTTATCACATGCTGAAATTCAATTATCACATGCTGAAATTCATTTATCATACTCTAAAACACAATTTTCATATCCTGAGATAAAATTTTCATATTCTGAGATAAAAATTTCCATATTCTGAGATAAAATTTACAGATTCTGATATTAAGAAATTCACATGCTGAAATTCATTTATCATACTCTAAAACACAATTTTCATATCCTGAGATAAAATTTTCATATTCTGAGATAAAAATTTCCATATTCTGAGATAAAATTTACAGATTCTGATATTAAGAAATGTCAAGAGTTACTCATCATTTATAATGAAAGGTATTTATTCATGCATGGTTTTGTATACTGTTATCCTATGTAGCTGGAAATAAACTGAATCTATAGTCAACCGCATTGATGTCTCTTTGCAATAAACTTAAATTCAACCTAAAGTCCGGCTAGGACAATTTCTTGATGAGAAGCTATTAACTCTATCAGCTGGGTTCCTTGAAATGAAAGGCTTCTCTTTACCAAAACCTTAGAGTATATTTTGTACAGCAACAACTTCCACAGACTCTTGACAGACAATGAATCCAGAGGAGATACTCGGGCATCTCATTTATAGATTCATACAAGACAGGTGAATGACCAGTCATGAATGACAGAAAGTAAACCAGATACAGGCAAGTCTGTTATGCATGAAAGTAGGTGATTGGAATACAACACATGACAATCACACTAGTAGGGTATTTTGTGTGTGTCTGAGGACACCAACCTAGGATGACAATACTGTATTAAAAATTCTCTGCTAATTGTTTTTTCCAAAATAATAATGCTGACCTTCTGTGACCTTTCTCAGCAAACACTTGATGGGGTGAAATACATCAGCAACTTGTAAATGGAAAATTCTCCATTTCAAACTTTCTCAATTTTAATTATTTCTCATTTTTCATATTTTAAAAGATTACTTCATTGACAAAAATGCTTTTCTATCAACAGCAGCAGTCTCAGCAAGTGCCGCTCATTACCATAAGCACAGAAGACGAGCCTCAAAAACGTGTCGAAACCGAGGTTCTCAGCGATCACGAGGCATCGACAAGCGTTTGAAAAATTGGCAACACTGTGTGGAACTTGTTTCGTTTTGGTCAAACGAAGATTTGTTTCCACCGGCAACGAAATTATACGTTGTTTGGACGACTTTGGTATTATTGGCTCCAATTGTTTGCCCGCGATGATGTCGCGCAAAATGTTTTCCAGTATATAATCGATTTTGCATTTAATAAATTGAATCATCATTCATTGTTTTTTTTCCTTATTGCTCATACGCGAAGAAGATAAAAAAGAAATGAATGCAAGAAAGCAGTCTTCATCCTTTCCGAATTTATTGCAGTCTTTTTTTCCCATTCATTGCATTCAAATTTGACAAAAATGTCTTTTTCAACAGCATCATCATTTTGTCTTCTTTTTTCGTTTCCGAAGCGTCATTTTCGCCAATTTTTCGAATCCAAAAAACAAACAAACAGCATTCAACCAATCATTCAAGAAAAAGAAATAAAAATATCAAACATTCACACAAAAAACCCATTTGAATCAAATCTCTTCATATTTGAATCAAATTTCCTCATTATTTTCCGTCCAATTCCCCACCCCGTCTAAAAAATTAAAAGAAGTTCATCAACAATGCCAAACCGTCCACCTTTCACCCATTTATTAAAAGCATTTAAATTTACAAACGCAGGATCGTATTCCAAAGGCTCGGACAGAACAAAAAATCATTTCTAAGCCAATGGCATTTCCTTGCGAGAAAAATATGCATATTTTAATTAACCGTTTTTCAACACTCATAAATCATAACGCATTTCTCTGAACATCGTTTTTTTTCTCCAGACTTATGTATGGAGTTGATGTCAACATTAGCCTTCACCGGAAAAGTATCAAAAAGTAAAATCAGATACCATATATATATCCTTTAATAAACGCCCGAATTGTGATTAAGGGTGATTTTTAATATTATCACAACAAAGTCAAGGAGAAGAAACAATTTCTAATTGACGTCCTAGTTCATGACAATTTTTCTTGCATATATTATCTGCACCAGTGAAAATGCATTTATTATCCTTTAAAAAGCTGAAAAATTAAATTGAGCTTACCAACTGCGCAGTCAAAATTATGTCCCTGGATTAACAGATTGTATTTGTTATAGCAAAGAACCCACTTTAAAATGGCAAGGTATCAGAGAAGACTCAGTCAAAATATTAGCTGGTGGGGCATGAAAATTAACACAGGATGGGCCTGAGAATATCAAACCAATCCTCTGCCAAAGTCAAATACTGTAATAATATGAAAGCAAAATTCAACATATTTTTCCAAGAATTATAAAACAGCTCATTGATCTCTAACAGTAGTCAGCATCAAATAAACACCAGGAGAAAAATCTCTTTTTTTGAGCAAGTACTGTATTTTATGGTACTTGAAATGCCTGGTCCCAAATAGAAACCTTTCTATAATAAAGGCCAGGTCTCAGAAAAGCTCGCAGTAAATAATGTCTGGTATCTAATATTAGCCAGGTCGAGATGTTGGAAATATTATTTCTCTCAATTCAAAAAATTCCTTTATACCCATATGAATTAAGAAATAAGAGATTAAAACCATTTCCCATCAATTCTAGAAGCATTCCTATTTAATCATCTGGACAAAGTTGCAATCAAAGGGTTTTCTTATTTTTTATCTGGGGCTTTCCCTCATTTCCCTTATTTTTGCATTTTTCTCTGGACCATCAATATTAACTGTTGCCAATAAAGCAGTGGTCTCAAATAGAAGCCAATTTTTATCAAGAGCTGTGAAAAAATTTCCGATATTTTAAATAAATGTCGGGGGCATTTATTAGAGGATATAATAGGGTAAATGTCAGGGGGTCTGCATATACAATACTCAATGGAAGACCTCTTGATAATTATGAACTTTTTTTAAAGACACATAGACAAGCATCAGTATACACACAACACAGTAACAAAAATAAAATAAAATGAAAAAAAATAATAATGAGGGCATGGAAGAAGCACATGCATCAGGCAATGCATGACTCATTGCACAACTCTGATGCAAAAAGGTGGGGTTATTTTCTTGGAAGGTGGGCATCTTTTCCTCGCGTTGCTCCTTGACTCTTTTTTTTTGTTTTAGTTGGTCGGTGTATGTATATAGAAGTATATGCATACGTATGATGTATATATACTGTATATCTATATATATATATATAGAGTCGTGTCAACATTCAAAATCCGTCTTTGAGTGTGATGGCAATGGCGGAGAGGATGAGCTGGATGACGGTCCAGATGGCTGGTACAATGCAACCCATGACGACGGTGAAGTTGGACAGACCCACTCCGCGGGACATGACGTTTCGGAGGGCGTCCGTTCCGTAGGTCTGCGGCAGCACAGAGCTCACGTAGCCCAGCAACGGCAACATGGCCTCTCGAGGCCAGCACATCCCTATGTATACATTGTAGAAGAATGTACAGTGAGATCCGACAGAAAATACAGACACTCTGACATATATGGGCAATTCAGGCTTGAAACTTTGAAAAATCTGACCGGGCTTCTGGACAATATTCTGACAGATGGACACTTTTCCAACATTTCTAGAAAAATTTGAAAATTTTAATTTTCAAGAATTTGGATATGTACAGTATCTTGAACAAATTGAGCCATTTGCACCCACAAATTAAGCTGAAAATGGGATCCATTACATGTGTAGTGTGCGGAATTTTTCTTATAAAATAATTCGTTGCTGGTAGACATCGTTGGCGCGCCTCGGGACGCGCCTGCAGCTGTTTTAGAGACCCTTCAACAGGGCTTCAGGGCAAAAATTATTGTAAACTCGATGTCCGAGCCTTTGGAATACGATCCTGCGTTTGTAAATTTAAATGCTTTTAATAAATGGGTGAAAGGTGGACGGTTTGGCATTGTTGATGAACTTCTTTTAATTTTTTAGACGGGGTGGGGAATTGGAGGGAAATTAATGAGGAAATTTGATTCAAATACGAAGAGATTTGATTCAAATGGTTTTTTTGAGTGAATGTTTGATATTTTTATTTCTTTTTCTTGAATGATTGGTTGAATGCTGTTTGTTTGTTTGTTGGTTTCGAAAAATTGGCGAAAATGACGCTTGGGAAACGAAAAAAGAAAGACAAAATGATGATGCTGTTGAAAAAGACATTTTTGTCAAATTTGAATGCAATGAATGGGAAAAAAGACTGCAATAAATTTGGAAAGGATGAAGACTGCTTTCTCGCATTCATTTCTTTTTTAAATTCTTCGCATATGAGCAATAAGGAAAAAAACAATGAATGATAATTCAATTTATTAAATGCAAAATCGATTATATACTGGAAAACATTTTGCGCGACATCATCGCGGGCAAACAATTGGAGCCAATAATACCAAAGTCGTCCAAACAACGTATAATTTCGTTGCCGGTGGAAACAAATCTTCGTTTGACAAAAACGAAAAAAGTTCCACACTGTTGCCAATTTTTCAAACGCTTGTCGATGCTTCGTGATCGCTGAGAACCTCGGTTTCGACACGTTTTTGAGGCTCGTCTTCTGTGCTTATGGTAATGAGCGGCACTTGCTGAGACTGCTGCTGTTGATAGAAAAGCATTTATTAAAATAAGAAAAATGAGAAATAATTCAAATTAAGAAAGTTTGAAATGGAGAATTTTCCATTTACAAGTTGCTGATGTATTTCACCCCATCAAGTGTTTGCTGAGAAAGGTCACAGAAGGTCAGGATTATTATTTTGGAAAAAACAATTAGCAGAGAATTTTTAATACAGTATTGTCATCCTAGGTTGGTGTCCTCAGACACACACAAAATACCCTACTAGTGTGATTGTCATGTGTTGTATTCCAATCACCTGCTTTCATGCATAACGGACTTGCCTGTATCTGGTTCACTTTCTGTGGTTCATGACTGGTCATTCACCTGTCTCGTATGAATCTATGAAGGAGATGCCCAAGTATCTCCTCTGCATTCATTGTCTGTCAAGAGTCTATGGAAGTTGTTCCTGTACAAAACATACTCTAACCTTTTTGGTAAAGAGAAGCCTATCATTTCAAGGAACCCAGCTGATAGAGTTAATAGCTTCTCATCAAGAAATAGTCCTAGCCGGACTTTGGGTTGAATTTAAGTTCATTGCAAAGAGACATCAATGCAGTTGACTATAGATTCAGTTTATTTCCAGCTACATAGGATAACAGTATACAAAACCATGCATGAATAATTACCTTTCATTATAAATGATGAGTAACTCTTGAAATTTCTTAATATCAGAATCTGTAAATTTTATCTCAGAATATGGAAATTTTTATCTCAGAATATGAAAATTTTATCTCAGGATATGAAAATTGTGTTTTAGAGTATGATAAATGAATTTCAGCATGTGTTCTGCGTCTCACGTACTTCCTCAGGACCTCTGGAAATTCGTCAAACAGTGAACTAAACTCGTCATTCTCAGGAAATGTAAGCTTTTTCCATTATTATTCATTCCCAGATTTTTGATGTTGCTTCTAGAGTTTTGTGGTTTACAATATTGTTCCCCAACCTTTTTTGCCTCGCAGAATGCAGAGTGGCAAATTTCTGTGAAATTTCTTGCAGGCTGGCAAGTTAAAAAAAAATATTTGTGTGGACCAGCAACGTTTCATAAAAAAATTCCAACTCCAAAAATTTTAGTTTGAAAGACTTCATGGCTGGTATTTCAAAAAGTTAATGCTTTTTGAAAAACTTAAATCCAGAGACAATGAAGTGGCGATAGTTGAATGTCTTTAAAAAATTACAAACATGGACCTAAACAGATGTTTCTCAGAATGAAAAATTGAAATGATTTATTTCAGCAGGTGAAAATTTCTTTAAAGTATTATTAGGAGAAAAGTAAATTTCCATCTTTCATCAGATGATTTCAACTTTTTGTCTTTCTAAAATTTCAAATAAATATGATAGACTTCATTGATACGGTATTTTTCATAAATGTACTATATTATGATGTAGAAAATTTCCCACAGACTGGCAAAAAGATTCTGCAGAACAGCGCCAGTCTGAGGACCACAGGTTGGGGACACTGGTTTACAACATTAATTGCTTTTAACCCTTCTGCGGCAAAGTTGAACTTTTTTCACAGATTTTGGTGGCACTCAAGAGTGGAATTGAAAAAAAAACCCCAACAGTGTGCGCAGGGCAAAGTCGGGAAAAATCCTGGACTTTTTTTCATATTCCACAGAAAAATTTCACCTAAAACTGAAAAAAATGAAAACGGCAAGGCTCCCTTTTTTCCCCTGGCCTTGTGCTGTTGCCCCATTCAAAGATTAAATTTAAGCTTGAAAGCCAGGAGCCCAGGTTGGAGGTCAATACAGAAAAAGTACAACTCAGGACTTTCCAAGCATTTCATTATCCCTGGAAAAAATCCGATGTTGCCCTCCCCCACCTGGCAGGGGTTGCATAACCTTGTGCAAAAATATAATGCACACCCATAAGGAAAGAGTCCAACTTTGCCCTGGGAAGGAAAGGAGGCTGCCGCCACCCAAGAATTAAATAAATGATAGGGAAGATTAAAATTGCTTTGTTTTGCTGGCCAAACTTTCAAAAATATTGGGGAGGCTAATATTATTTCAGTGTACAAATTACTATTCCTAAATTAAATCACTGAATATTCTAGCCTTCTGAATTGCAATTTCAAGTTCTATGTCAAAATTACACCCAAAGGCTTAAATATTTCACATTTTAAATTTGATTTTTTTTTTTACCTTTTGCCCTCTCTTCCTTCTCAGCATCAGATCTAGATGATGTGGAACTGAATCTGGACTTGAGAGCTGGTAGTAGAACATTCCACTTGCTGTCTTCCCCAATTGTGTCCCTCTTCTCAGCCAATTTGAACATTTTTCTTCTCTCTTCAGTTCTTTCTCTTCTCAACTGGATTCTCAGATCATCATTGGCCTCCCTTAAAGCACCAGCCAGTGAAAGTAAGTAGTAAATGAAAAGAGTGAGGAGCACCAACAATGGAATCACTACTCCAGCTGAAGTCATATAGTCCAAGAATACATGGCTCCACTGTGGCACGGATTCCATGATCCTCCTTGTCAATATCCTTTTAAAAAAATAATAAAGATATTCTTGAGGAAAACTCTCACTGACAGAAAAATTCATGCATTTTTCAAACAAAGTGAATACACAGTAACCTCATGAGTCATGATTATTCATGTTGCCAATCTATCCTAACTTTGAAGGTGTGAATTCAAAATTTAGTAGAATGTCTGCTAGAGAGCCATATTAAACCAAACATAGTATTCCATATATAATAAAAAATGATTGCATAAAAATGTTTTTCATGCATACTCACATGTATATCCTGTCATATCCACTGAATGGACCACAATGCCAACTTGGTGGGAGTCTCACCACAAAGTATCCAACAGGCAAAGTGCACAAGAATAAAAACAACAACAGCAATCCATAGTAGAAATTGTTTGACCTCGATGCCCTGAAGACAGTCTCATGGGGAACATTGCATGTGGTGACAATCCAAAACCTGGCATATGCCAGCACCACAAGTTTCAGCAAATTCAGGACTGGCAGTCCTGGTGAAAAAAACATTCCCATCCTGCAATGGAATGATAAGAAGTCATAATGTAGTACAGTATGAGTATTCAGTTCACAGAAGCATTTAAAGATATCAATTTTATGAAAACTCTTGATGAGAAAAGGAGGAAATACATTAATATAGCAGATGGGGTCAACTGTTGCATCCATTCCCATTAATTTTAAAAATTGGCCACAGATATTTTTCTCCAGTGATTCATTATTATTCAGTTTTTCAAGCATAAGCAATGCATTTTTTTTAATGAGCGTAGCTTATTTTTAATGCTGATCACCTGTTCAGTTATTTTTTCCTGATATAAAGTATATCAAGCACAATAAATCTGGATTGAGATCAAACATCATTGCGGGCACCTAGAAAAGACGGGCATTTAGCTGCCAAAAGGACCGCCCACTTCACCAATTTTGGTTTCGCAGCACTGGCAAGTCCGTCTTTCAAGCGACATCTATCATAAGAAATGTATCTAACTCACCAAATCATTCCTTGGTTGTTGACAAGATGTAGAACACTCTCCGCAACATTAAACTCTGCGTATTCAGGCCACCTTTTCTCCAGATCCCAGAACCAACAGGGATTGAGAAAACGCACGATGAGCGCTCTAACAAAGTCCATTACCAGAGTCGAGAGCAATGTCGTCACTAAATCAATCACTGTGATTTTCACCAGCTCCTGGCCAAGCATAGTTTCCCAACACAAAGACCTCAGGGTTTGCATGGGTTTGTAATCTATGGTCGTCGGGGGAGGAGGAGCAGGAGTCGTTATTGGGGCGCAGAGGATTCTTCGCTTCGGGATCGACGTTGGCGACACTTGTGAGACGTTGTAAGTTGTGTCCCAAGGATTCGCTGGCGCGCGTGAGTAGGTGTCGCTGTCTGCTATCTTAGGGTAGAACCGGATCTCGCTGAAGAATGACTGCAGGTACTCTGACATTCGAGTTTCGCCCCGTCCTGCCTTTTTTGTATTCGAATGAAATTATTACAGTACAATATTAATCAAAAATACTAAAGAAATTTCATCGAGTGGGTAGGAATTTAGAAGATTACCCCTTTGACGGGATCAGAGTTTTGGATGACGGGATTTTTCTTTTTGGTTTCGTCGATGCGTTCGATGAACTGCTGCTGATGATGTTGACCGCGTCTGAATCCCACTGGCCACCGGCGGGTTTCATCACCGGCTCTCGGGTCGCTTTCGATGACCACCGCAGCATTCGGAGTGTGTTTATCTTCTCTGATTTGTGAGGAGATCTGAATCTCTGGACTGAAAGGAAAATGTCATTTCAATCAGATTTTCTGATGAAAAAATGCATTGCTTGTCCCGAAATTGAGACACGCGCGGTTCGTCGGGGATGTAGAGACTCCAAAATTCAAACTTTCTGCTGAGGATAACATTATTTTAACTTCTAAGATTGAAAAAAATATGCTTACCGGACAGCAGTTTATTTCTGAGTTATCTTCATTTTGGGTAAATATTTAGCTGTAAATCTAAGGAAATTCATTGGTGAAAAATGTGATACAGGATAGTTTTTCATCACCTGGCTGGTGTTCCATCATCCTCGTAATAACATCCGATTTTTTCTGTGGTGATTCCAGCTCTGGTTGATTCAGTAGTGGCCACTGTCTGAGTTGCTGAGAAGCAAAGTTGAATGAAACATCTCTCTGGCTTCTCAGATGTCGCTCTTCGATTTTGCTCATCGAAAGATGACCCGGTGGTGTCACTAGTTTCCATAGACCATGTGGTTTCTGTGTCCACACTGGAGCCTTTTCCACCTTCTGTGCTTGAACTGATGTCAGAAGACTCAGAAAATCTGGTTTGAGTGGTTTCTGGTGTATTGGTGTCATCTGTGGTTGGCAATTCTGTTGATGCGTCAGTAATAGAGGAGATTTTTGCTTCTGTGGCTGCTGATTGGATGAAGAACTTATTATTGCTGAAGGGGAAGCGGATCTGCCTTTTTGATCTTCTCCGGTTTCTCTCATCCATAATCCTTTGCTTCACTTTTCTCCATCTTGCATAAGCTTCTGCTGCATCTCTCATTCCTATTGAATTAGAAGAACGTGCAAATTTGTTTTTTCCAATTGAGTAAGATTGAACGATATGTCTCACCTTTGTCTAATTTGGCAATGAAGTCTGGGTGTAAAGTGGTTGTTGTATTGTCTGGCCGCCAGACTTCAGGGTCCCAGGTTTTCAGAAAAGATGTTTCATTCATCATAGCTTTAGGATAGACTTCTGGGGTAAAGTAAGTCCTACTGAAGTTATCCTCATGAATGACTATAGAAAACTCAGCCAACAAATCAGAAATGTTGCCATTTCCTTGAGACCAATACTCCTTGTCAGTTATCAAATCAGACTTGTTTGACCTTTAAAAACAATGGGATGTCAACATAAATGTTCAAAATATCCTGATGGAAGCTGTGACAAGTACCTGAGGGAAGCACAAGGAACCCTCCTTTTTGAACATTCTGTGGTGTTGAAAGAGGTTGGGAAGATAGTTGGTGGTGCAGTTGTTATTGTTGGTTCCAGAGTGGTCCACAAATAGGATGTCCCTGGTTGTTCTGTCATTGGAGCTTGAGTCCTTAACTGTTCCAGTTCTATGATCTATAATGGAAACATGGCAACACTTTTTGTTATAGATTTCATAGTAAAAGGTAGACTCTTTCTACAGTACAACTAATGTGAGGGACCAGGGTAATATTTTTTTTAGAAAAAATTTATTGCGGAGAACCTCTAAAAAATGTGTTATGGAGACTATGGGGAATTTTTTTTTTACACAGATAATTATAAAGAAAATTGTTGCAGAGGGAATCTGCCTGCAATTTTCAAAAAGTGACTCCACAATAAAATTTAAATTTGGTGGTACCTATCTCTTCCTTGATAACGTCCAGAGGGAATCTAAATGAATATTCTAATACAATAAGACCCCAACATACACACAATGTGACTTATACAACCACTTAAAGCTGGAAAAATCTACCCCAACATCCAGGCAGCAACTCAAGATGTGGACACATCCAAAATTTCTTGAAAAATCTTTAAAAAAAAATTCATGTTGATATTTCTCTAAGAACTTAAACTATTTAACCCTTTTGCTGAGACGGGTTCTTTCCCATTGCAGGACGAAGTTCAGATTTTCTGGGTTGGGCCCTGGTTCAAGTTTTTTTTTTAAGGCCATGACAGCCAAGCCAGGTGGACTAGGGCAAAGTTAGAGTTTGTCCAGCAAAAACATGCTGTTGAGATTTCCCAAAGTTGGACTTTTACCCCTAACCTTTAGTGGCCTCTAAATGGGAACCCTTCTTCTGGTGCCCAAAATGAAAGGGCCAAGAAGCTGAAAGTAATAAAACAAATCCAGGGACAAGATAAAAAAAAGCTCAGCCTTGGAGATGGATTTTTTTCTTTTCATTTTTTACCAGTTTTTTTGCATTATTTAGAAAATATGCCAGGGTTTTTTTTACCAACTTTGCCCTGTATGCACTGTTATAATTTTTTAAAGCTTCTCTTACATGCACCAAATTTTGTGGAAAAAACTGATTTTGCTGCCCAAGGGTTAAATTTTAAAATTCTAAAAATAAATTTCATTCTAAAATTGCCCTTATTCATTATCAAAATATAAGCTCATTTTTTGCATCTTATTTTCAGTTTTTTCCATCATGCATGCTCAGTATAGACCAAGACTTGTTCCTTGCTTCATGAGCTCCTTTTGATGCCAAAAGATCAGATTCTGTGTGCTTTTCTTCTGTACATGTATTTTCTGTATCTTGCAGTTGAGAAAAACTATTTTTTTCCATATTTGGAGGGAGTTTTTCTTAGCTTTTCATCCATGTACAGGGGAAGTAATTAAAAATATTTCCATTGAAGTCTATGGGAAAAAAGGTCCAACATGCAGAAGGTCCAACTTAGGGACAAGGTCAATGCACAAATTACATCCACATCTTGGGGTCACACTTTATTCCTAACACTTGAAAACCTCAATCAATGTACTGTTAATGAATTAGGCAGTTTTGAGTACCACATTGCAACATAATCCTTCACTCAAGACTCTCTAACCAATAAAAAGAAGTTACAGACTTGATAAAATTCATTCACTCAACTTCAAGAATGACTTACCATGATGTCAACCTTCTTGAAAAGTGCTGGGATCAGGGAGTAGAAGTTGACCAAGAACAATGCAAGTATCCTGTAAACAAAGAAAAAACCTTTTCACAATGCCAAAAGTTATTTCAATGATTTATAGTTTTTGCCATTTAATTTTGGTACTGTAGTTACCTTGCAAGTTGCCATCTTAAAGCAGCTCTGGGATGGAACTTTTCCATCTTACCAATCCAGCCAGAGAGATTGGGAAAAATGAACCCAGCTGCTCCAAGCACAACCTGGAGCTCATTTTGCCGGAACCAATTGGCACGAGGGTCCACATTGTATGACCTCTCAACTGCCAAAACAATTGCGTAAGCTGAAGTGGCCAACAGTCCCAAAATCAGCAGATTTGCAACAACTCTTGCTGCCACCAGCTTCCAGCTATAAATAAAATTGAGAGAGAGTGTGTTAGGGTGCTTTATTGATTAAAAGTCTGATTTGTCAATGGATTGCAAAAAATTCCAATTCAGAACAGTGTGTTACAAATTTAAACTTAAAGTTTGGAGACATTTCTGAGGACAGGAAAGGCACTTCCACGTGGTGAATGAGCAAAATTGAAACAAAATTCATGTGATCAAATCTTTTCATTATCATGGAAAAATACAGCAGTTGGCCAAATTGGCATAAATAGAGAGTAATTCAAAATTACTCTTAATTTACAAAAAGTACCCCCTCTTTGCTCTTTTAACTTGCGAAGTAATCGAATATGAAGAATATAAGAAATATTTCTCAGTCACTGGGTTTAAATGCAAAAGGTTTGCTTCACAACAAATATATTAAGGGGATTTCGTCAAAGTTGGGTTACATATCATCAGTGAATCCTGCATAATGGGTAAAACATTAAATTTTGAAGAAGAAATGTTGCCCCTAATCTCATTTGATGAATGCAACACCATTGAAACCCCAAATGTTTACTTCATTGGTATGACTAATTACATGAATAACTACAAATAAAGGCTTGCTTATTTCTCTCTCATCAGAGGTTCAAGTCAACTTATTGTTATTCACTAAAATTGTCAATATACAGGGTGGGCCATAAAAAAGTGAACCTTTTCTTTCACTTGTAATAGCTTCATAGAAAATTTAGCTATGGGGATGAAAAAGCACCAAATGAAAGATAGTTCAATTCTCTTTCAAATGGAATCCAGTTTTATGGTTTCAAGAGTCACAGAATGGTCACAAGAACCATTGGAAGGAAAACTTTCAAAAATAAAAGTTGTCAGGTGACTTTTTTCCACTAATAAACTGCTGTTTTTTGTAGAGCTGTTTGCATAAGTGAAGGAAATGCAGGATGCAAAAATTTTACCAGAAAACTTGATGCGTTCTTGGAAGACCCTGCACATGTTCCCAAAATTCAGAAGGAGTGGGTGAGAAGGGGGAAGGAAATTGGCAAGATTGGATGCTGCTGCAGGGCTTCTGTCATGCACATAGCACAAGTTCTGTTGGGCTCTGGCCTCACAGCTCCCAGCTCACAAGCAAAGAGTTTGTGAGGTTCAAACCTCAGGCCACAAATGGCCAATTGTGCATTAGCAATTATTTCACTAAAAAAACAATTCTTTGTCACTGAGGTCTGAGGGACCCCCAACACTTTCATCAAGAACAAGCCATAATTTAGATGTAAGCTACCTATATAATCACAAATCTTCCATGAATCATTCATAAGAATTAAAAATTCCATTAATTTTGCTAATTGAAGGCATTAGCCTCAACCACTCAGGAGACTTGATTTCCAGCTCTCCTTTTCTGAGTAAGTCTAGAACTTCTTTTTCATTTATTAAATTTAAACAAATTACCCGGTTTCCTGTTTGGTTTTCTCCTTTTCCTCAAGTAGAAGTTCCCTGAAAGACATGAGCAGAGCAGATCTTTTGTTGATGGCAGCTTCTGGGTGACCAACAGTGAAATCCCAACCAGCAAACAATTTCCAAGAGAAAACCGCCTCTTCTCCGCCTGCTGACAGCTTACTGGCTCTTGCATTCGTTGCCATTCTAGACAATCAAATTTAAAATAAAACGCAAAGTCAAATTTTAATTAGTAACATGTATGTCATGCTCTTGGACTTCTGGATTGCAGATTTTAAAAAGAAACAAATTTTGCAGATTTTAAAAAGAACGGGTTGGGTGGGAAGGGGGTTTGGTTGTGGGAATCTTGTCACTCACCTCAAAACTCCTTCAAAATTCCACAAAGTCGAGAAATCGTAAGCAGTTTGAACTTCATTCGGTAATAACGTTTTTCGCGCATCCCCAGGTTTTCCAACGCTTCCTGAAAGAATCTGCAACGAATCATGATCAGTTGTTGTTTCACAAAGATAAAAGCGCAAGCATGAATCACACGTGCTTTCCATATGACATATGTAGTGTTGAATTCTTTGGTCAAAGTCTTGGAGTTACAAATGAAAAAGAACTCTTTTGAAAGTAGTAATCTGCAATGAGAACTTGGGGACGCCCAAAAGTTCTTCGTATAAGTATTCCAGAAAAAATATATGCATGACCACATTTTTAAAAAGGTCAAGGAGTGAAACGAAGAAGTTTTCAAGAACTTCCGAACGATTTTGAAAATAGAATCCAATAGAAGATGAAACATTACGGATTCATATCGAAATTATTTTTTTTTTCAATACGGAAGAGGAATTTGAAGCAGCTAGTGCTGCTGATGTGTTGCAATTAAATCTTCCCACGACAAATCGATCGTCATTGACTTTTTTTTTTAGAAAAATGAACCAGAAGAGGATTAAGCAATTTGTTTTAGCTGTGAGAGAATAAGATGCTCAGAGCTCCATTCAATTCATTTCCAAGAATTTTTTATAAAAGAAGATGGCCAGTGTTCTTGAAAATAAATGAAGTGGAGCGTCAGCCAAAAAAATTATATAAAAACGGAAGAAATTTGAGAAATATAAATCCTATATAAGTTAAATCCCATGCTAAATTTTTCGCATCCCCCACCGCCCTCATCAAATATTATGAAAAAATTCAGTAACCCTCAAGAATGATGGATGATATATGCCTGAAACGTGATCATAAATTTAACAGGCATCTCACCTCAGGAACCATGACAAAAGAGACAAATATGGCGGCGATCCCCACATTGAGCAAGCAGAGCCAGCGCAGGAAAACAAAGTAAGAAGCCACCACTGAGCCAAATTGAGCTTCAATCCCCTTGATCCTTTTCTCCCAGGGGATCAGAGCCCTGGCCATGTTGGACAGCTCCCTGTGGCATCTTTTCAACAGCTAAATAATATACAGAATACACATAGAGAAATAAATAAGAAAAAGTATATATACATATATTTCATTGGAGGGAGATGAAATTCATTCTTTTGCTCTTCAATCCTTCATTGGTGTCTAATAAATTTTTCATGGATTACTCAGCTACAGCAGGAGACAAGAAAAAGACCTGGATCACAGTGAATCCTATCCACTGAAGTACACTCTGAAGTGAAGTTTAATTTATTTAGAGCAGCTGAATGTTCCCTTACTTGCATGCTCTATGACTTTGGGGGTCATGTGGTAAACTTCACTTCAGTGCACTTTGGTGGAGGGCATTCACTGTGATTCAAGTTTTTTCTTGTTTCCTTCTGTAGCTGAATAGTCAATGAAACATTTATGAGACACCAATGAAGACTTGAGCAAAATGAAAAAAAAATTGCATCTTCCTCTAATGATGGGAAGTGGCAGTTTATCATCTTTTACCAACCCTCATATTCACGCAATACACATATCTGGTCAGAATTTGAAGACAAGTCAAAGAACTTGGACAATAAAAAAGAATTTTCGAAGAATGGGATTCGGTTTCATTTGTGCATAGGTGAATCAATGGAATTTATTTTATGGCCAATTTCTTGGAACTATTCATTATTCAAAGATGTTTTGCATGCACCATTGCGCTGAAATTATTCCTATGAACAATTTTCTGGTCCCCTGAAATTCATTGTACGGATTCATCCATATATCTCTATATTGTACTTCTCTCCTCTTCCTTGTTTGCTTTGAAATCAAATCATTTGGCAACACTGCAGTGCTCCTGAAGATTCACCTTAGTCAAATTAAAACCAACCAAATTTCAAGCATCTTGGCACAACATTGTAATTATAGTACAGTATGTGGAACAATTTAGTTACCTGAGTCAGTTTTTTCATCCTAAAAAAATTTGAGGTGAAATGTTAACAATGATCTTTTCCAAAGAAGGGAAAGTGATTGAATTTCACGAATGACTCTAAAACCATGTCCAATGTGAGTACAGTTAAATCTTGTTACAATAAACTTACAGGGGCTGGTGAAAAATTCGTTCTTACAAAAATTGGTTGAACTGAGGCTCATGGTTTTCAACACATTTCAGACTGAAATGTTCGGGGGAAATACGTTAGAAATGCTGTGAAGGATTTCTACAACAAAAATTCAGCTCAGAATCAGGCCCAAAATGCATTATGATGAGATTTCAATTTAAATGTGTTCATTAAAGTGACATTTTTGGATCATTTGTCCTATACTGAGAAACTGCTAGCTGGGACCAAAGAAACAATTCATTCCAATAAAAAGATTCATTGCAAAAAAATTCATTGAACCGCCAAAACATTCATTGTAACCAAAGATTCATTGAAAAATTCGCTGCAACAAAAATTATTTTTAACAAAAATTTGTAGTAATGAAAAGTTCGTTGTTATTGTGGCAAATAATTTGTTCTAGCGAAAAATGTATTTAATGAAAAATTCGTTGTGACAAAAAATGTTTTGTAATGAAAAATTCGTTGTAACAAAAAAATTTTTAGCAATGAAAAATTTGCTGTAACAAAAAATGTATAGTATGGAAAAATTCGTTGTTGTGGCAAATAATTCTTTCTAGCGAAAAATTCATTTTAACGAAAAGTTCGTTGCAACCAAAAATTTGTTTCCACGCATAAATTCGTTGTAACAGAATTCTACTGTATATATACATTGCAACATTGCCTTAAAATGGGTGGGACCGTTATTCGTCGAACTCAGCCTACTCCACCAGGAACCGTCACGGCGAAGGAACCCGGTCAAAGAGCAGGTCCCGAGGAAGCACGAGAGACTACATCCGGATGGCCTTTCGCACCAGCCTGATCTTGCGTCTCAGTGGCAATGGCTGCGCCCTCACTTCCCGCAGCACGTCGCGGTGGAGACGAACCATTAGGAGCAGCCTGTAAACGTTCCTTAAGTGAAGGCCGGCTGGGCTCGGACTAGGCTGGCTTACGGGTAGCCTTGACCTATAAAAGCAAAAGTCCTTCTACTTTCTATCCTTCGTTTTCTTGTCAAGGTAGACAAGTATTGTAGTTCAATCCTACATGGTTGTATTAAAAATCCCATTTACAAATACTCTATATGTATCAATGAACTACATTTTATACCATTCTGGACAGCAATCAATCTATCTATTATTGCAGGGACTTGCGCTGGTGATCCGCCAATAAAGAAGTATGCACAGCACAGGAAAATGGCAATAGCAGGAACAGAGTTTCATCACCCCAGGATCAAGAATGGTTCTTTTTAATCTGTTGAAGCTTTTAAAGATTTTCAATGTCTCAAATGCATCAATGAGTCCAGGTACATTCATGGTTCATCCATCAGTTATTAATATTGTTTGAAAATCTGAGTGATATCAATATCTAGAAGCCTATTGAGTCCAGAAAAAAGAATCAGCAAACAAAAGGAAAGGCCTCAAAACTTGCATATGCTCACACTCTTCACAAAATGGTCAAAACAATATGGTTCCTACAAAAATTACTGCGCTATCGGATGATACACGGATTCCTCACCATTCACTCAATGTGAACACAGAAGAATGTCTTCTGCCAGCAGAGCTGACATCTGGTGTTGGCGAGGCAACTGAGCCCCGTCTCCGCTTGCCTGTGAGTTTCTTTGCTGTCAGTTGCCGTTTGGACATCACTGCTGAAATGCTCGCTGAATATTCCTCGTCTGAATCCATCCCTGTGCAAAACAATAAAAACAAAAATTCACGAGTAAAATTATGAGCTGCAGGAATTTTTTGCCTTTAAGCGTGTTGCAATGAATGTCCGGAACTTATTCGAAGTTTCAGGCATATTTTATCCCGTATGAGATGATTTTTCCGTATATATTTTTTTGTTTCTTAGGATTCAGTCATCTTTTTCAGCATTAACTATAGATAAGCTGGGATTTTTAAAGATTTACAGCAGCAAAAAGGGTGATGTTCCTCTGAGACATTAATGTAAAAATGCAACTACAGTACAGCTGTGCCTCTCCTTGAAATTTTAGTTGAAAAATTTGACTTGAAGAAGTTTTGAATTGTTTAGGTTTGAGTTACAAAACAAAGCCCTTCTGTTCCAGGAAACAACACAGAGAATTGCCCAAAATTGTAAATGGTGATATTCTGGGGCTTAAATTGCTTCTTAAATGAGTTGAAAGTATGCTGAACTTGGAGGAAGGTGTTCATTTGCCCAATTAAGTCTTTCCCTTCTTTTCAAAACAAATCAATATATGCTTTTATTGCTTTTTTGTTCTTGTGTCAAGAACATAATAGCCAGCATATTACAGAAAATTTGACTTACGGAGGTTTGAGGGTCAAACCTTTGAATTGGGGAGGTTTTTAATGTATTGTTTCTAAGGGGATTCAAACAGGAACCTGAAAATAATTTGACTTAGTTCAACTGAAATTTTGGAAGAATGGTTTTTTTGCAAGGCCACTTTTTCCAGAATGGATTCAACAATTTTGAATCCATTCTGACATTATGGTGCACTCTGTAAAAAAAAATGCATTTCTGCAAAATATATAAATGGAAAGATATTTCTTCACTTCAACTTTCTAGAAATGTATAGTTGAACCAGTGAAAATATTTTCAGACAAAATAAAATGTTAATATGAATAAATATTGTAATAAATAGTACAGTTGGACTCCCTCTCTGCAACCATCTGTCTGTACAACAATTTTCTTTGCATACAGGTTTTTTTTATACCTATTAGGTTCTTGATCTTCCCAGCAGGGGTTCTTCTTAACAGAAAAAATTATTCTGCCCCCCTTGAGTTTTGTTGCAGACAGTCCACCTGTACAGGTGGTGCCCTGCAATTTCACCCTAATCCATTGCCAGGTGAGGGTCAAATTGCAAAGGGATGGAATTGCAACAAACTGTCAAATTTGATGCTTTCTACCTCAAATTTGGAATTTTGAGTCTCTCTGAAGGTCAAATTGTGGGGAAGGAGGTCAAATTGCAAGCAACTGTAGTAGGGGCGTTTAAGGTTGACAGGTTAACACCCTAGTCAACTTAACGTACTGTAGTTTAACGTTCCATAGTGGCCATAGTGTCATTATATATTACTTACTTCTAATAGTAAGAACGGTATATCATCGTCGACGTCGTGGAAGTCGTCACGTCGGACAGCACGTCGTCGCCCCGCAGCGCCGCCACAAGAGGCGGACGGAAAAGCGACGCCACTGGCGGCATTCCGCGTCGAATCGACAGCGACGCAAAACGAGCTCATGGACGGGACATCGCTGGCTGTCGCGTGGGACCTTTGTGGTGACGATGTGGCAAACTGGTCCTCGGCAAACGACACCGACAGGCGGTGTTCCACGAGTTCATGATGGTGGTGGTGGTGTTGTGGTGGTTGTTGTTGTTGTTCTTGTTGCTCATCTTGTTCGTCTTCTCTTTGTTCTTGTTGCTGTGTTGGCTGCTGTTGTTTTGTGTCTGCTGCTGCTGCTGACGTCGACGGGGGAGCCTATGAATCGAGAGACAAATGTAGGACCAGTTAAGGTGAGACCCCCACATGCGGACGCCTCGACATGGGGACATTTATTTTTTAACAAAAAAATTATAAAAAAGGCCCAACATGAGGACACTGACTTGACCTGGGGACATTGCAGGATAAAATTCCAAAATGAATTTTAGGAAAATCAATTTTTATAAGGCTTAATTGCAAGAAACAGATGTTTCCAACTTAAGATGATCTATGCAAGAAAAATTCTTTGGTACTTTTCCCATCATTTTCCCATCCATTCAGCTACTTAAAAAAAAGCCCTATTGCACAGAGGGACTTCCTTCTACCTCTCTTTATGACATGGATGTTATTTTTCCAGATGCCAGCTTTTCAATGTACTGTACAGAGGTACACTATTCAATGTTCCAAATGCTCTTATTGGTTTGAAAATATATTCATTGCATCAAATTCAAGTGGCAAAAAAAATTTCATGACATTCTGAAGAATATTTCTTCCATAAAACACCAATTAAAAGTTATATAATGTAAGTCTATGGAAAAACAAGATTCGACTTGGGGACAATCCAACTTAGGGACACTCTTGATACACCAATTATGTCCACATCTTGGGGTCTTACTGTATATTTTAGCAAGCTGTAAGTGTGACGGTACTGTATTTGCACTTTTGGTTGTCAATGAAAATCCATCAGAAGAGATATTTCAGGTTTTTTTCTTATTTTCTGGGGGGTTTTTGAGAGGTTTCGGTAAGATTTCGGCGGTATTTATTTGGGTGACTTGAACGATTTTTCCCTTCAATCCAATGCAAAATTCAGGCTATTTTTTTTAATGCGTAATTTTCATCGACTACAGCACTCATGTTATATACTTCTTATTAGATTCTCATGATGAGAATGATTTTAAAATAAGAGTGTAAAATTGAAAAATGAAGCTACGGTTTTTGGGATCGGGAATAATGCGGAGAATCGTAGAGAACAGAGCTAGTTTTCGAATGAGTCAAACTAAAAAATATGAATAATAAGATGATATCAAATTCTAACAAAAAGAAACCGCAAATCTTCAATATTATTTTGGATTCAAGCACATTGAAATTGCTGTACTATGCATTGAAATACGTACTAATCATAATCTTGAGCAGGCTTGTGAAAAGTTATACTTGAACTTTGTGTCATGAGAAGTTCTAAGACACTCAGTTCATTATTGATGAAAGTTGCCACACCACAAAAAATCAAAGGTTTAGTTTTAACTGTCAAATCAATCATGTTTACATGCAGGTCATGAACAGGTGCAACCTGGGAAACTGAAACCACTGTAATCTTCAAAAAATCAGAATTTATTCTCTGAGGTTTTTCATGTTCTTTTATTGGACAAACATGTTTTGGTCTGTTCTGGAACTGAAAAGGTGTGTTGAAAAAATGGTCACCAAACATTGGAAAATTTGAAAAAACTTAGGCAACACTACTTAGCAAAATATTTTTGAGCAAAATTGAGCATTGCACCCTATGTGAGCTGCAAATTCTTTTGAGGCAAGGGAGGGATGGTAATAATTGAAACACAGCAATTGGTTGGTGCGCAACCCACCTGAGGGACTCAGAACCCCAAAATGAGCATAAGGTATTATTTTTCCTCCACATGAAACCAACAATGAAAACTGTGGTGACTTCAAAACAAGTGTATGTGTAGAATTTGCAAAAACTTTGATGGTTGAGTGTTGAACATCTTTAGGGCAGAGATCCTTCTTTCGGAGTGTTTTTTAAGATGGTTTTCTGCAAACTTTTGTACCTGGATTGCGTAATTGGGAGAGAACAGATTTCTCCCAGGCAACAGTTGGTTTTTGAGTTAAAAAGGTGCCTGTTAATCATAAGCCAACACTTTTGGGTGAAAATTCCCAGCATGTTGTTAGGCAACATCTGGGCTTTGCTTTCCCTAAAAGGTGGGAGTTTATTTTCATGGAGGAAGAGGTTTCTCATCCTGAAGTCAGGTTTCAAAAATTTGACCTGAAACCAGCCTCTGCCTGGGGTGCTTGTATTTCTGTCCTCTTTGAAGGACAAGGGGAGAGCAACAGTTTTGGCTTTCTTCTCTGCTTAAACTAAATTTTAGCTTCAGATTTTTATGACCCCCTTTATCTCTATTTTATTGCAGAAGTGACAGCATATGTATCTCTGGCACAGATTTTTGGCAGTTGCGTGGGCTCTCACACCTGTGCAGAAACAATGTTTCTTATGACTCTTATTCCAAAGCAAATTTTTCCCTTTTCTTTTTCTCACAATTTGTTACAGGAAGTGCTGGGTGTAACAGCTATGTGTAGCCTAATGCATTTGTTGTGCATAACTGTTACACCCAGCTTCTCCTGCTATGCATTTATAATTCCCATTGATTCTCATGGGTGGAAAAAAATGTTGCAATGCATTTGGAATGCATTTGTTATGCATTCTATTGGTACGCCCATATTCTAAAAATTTAGGATATACAGTACTTTTCTTTAGTATAGCAGGCTGCATAATAAAACGCCTGCCTGCTACATTCAAAAAGCTTGATTCTTTCTGATTTTCTTGAGTGTATCAGGCAGTGTATTGAAATGCCTGCCCGCTACAGTCAATAAAACAAGCAGACATACTTCAACAGAATTTTGTTGCTGTGTTTACTGTGGTATTAATACCTCAACAAACTACAATTTTTGCATTAATGCCTGACAAAATTTTCCTGCAGTTTGTTCCTGAATATATTCTGTTTCAGTAGGTGTGGAAAATAACAATAATTTTCTGTTTAAACATCCGGTATATATGGAAAGGATCTTTGAAAGCCAGCATAAGAAAAAAATCACCCTGGTAAGCAGCAAGACTTTGATTTTTAAGATTTGAAGATCAAAAGCAACTAATTTTTTTGTGGTGTATACCACAGGATTCATATCACCACAGAATTTTGTTGCAGTATATACCAATTTATTATGCAATGGTAAATATTAAGGCAGTATTAATTCCATTGCAGTATATACTGCAACAGGATTTTGTTGCAGTGTATACTGCAGTATTATACCGCAATATTATATTGATTTATTATGTACCACAGTACACACTGCTGTATTTCAATACTGAGGTATTTATTCAGTTAGGGTGTATACTTCAACAAACAGAATGTTTGCTGCAGTATTGAAATACTGCAATACAAGTGGTATAATAATACCATGTATACCACTTGTTGAAGTATTATACATTGTAGTCATAATAATGACCAAAACACCCCTCACTTTCTGTACAACCCTTTTAAGCTAATGTATTTCCTCTAAGCTTGGCTGTGCATGGTGCCCTAGCAATTATATTTCACAAAAACGTTGTTGACAGAATCATTTCCCTAATCTACGCCGCTTTGCTCCGCAGCAATATATTGTATTTACTGTGTGAAGAATATAATAAAAACCTACTTTGTAGACTCTCACAGAGTAACTTTTGTGTTTCCTTCAGGAGTTGCAGAAAATGCTTTAAATCTCCAATTTCATTCCTCAGCTATAATTCAAGGATCTGACAATGACTGATCATTGTTGGTCATTCTGATTGACATTGTAATTTTTGGATAATAACACATACTGCTTGTTGCGCAACAATGTGTTTGTCACAGTACTATAATACCTCAGCAATGTGTTTGCTGAGGTATTATAATACTGCAACAAACATGTAGCTCTTATATAAGAATCCCAAAACTGGGGACTGTTAGAGGTAGGTAGCAGTAGCACACCCAGTATGGGGACTGTTACAAGATCTGAGGTTCCTGGTTCAAATCCTGTCATTGGATAGGTAAGCATTGAATCACACACACACAGGACTCACACACACACACACACTCAACATCACCACACATGAACACAGACACACATGACACAATTGATCCAAACAAGTAGTAGAGCGTCCGCAGTGTGGACAAAAAAATGAAAAAAATGGAAAAATGATTGCAGAAGTGGGATTTGTACCCACGCCTGCAGAACCAGACTGTGACTTGAACGCAGCGCCTTAGACCGCTTGGCCATCCTGACAACTCAATGTTAATTGATGTGTTTTCAAGTAGGCAAATTAATTCAAGGTGCAAAAGGCCACAGACACACGTTACACAATGTCCTTATTATCCCCCCCCCCCATCCCTGTAGGATCCTACTGGTTGTTCCTCCCACTGCGGATGTTAACAGATTATGTAAACCACAGCATCGTGCAAACACATCTGTTTACAATTTTTTCTGTTATTTGTACAAGGTTTTTTGATGAGAAGATTTTGAATGGTTAGAGTATTGGGTGGGCATTTTGATATGCTTGCCTGCTACACATTGCAGCTAGGCATTTTGATATGCCCACCTGCTATGCATAGCAGGTAGGCATAACAAAAGGCCTACCTGCAACACATTATTGAAAGTCCTGACAAGCAGGTGTAACAGAAATGCATTGCACTTGTGGCATGAAAGGCATTTGCCGCGCATTTTGCTATGCCAAATTATTTGCTGGGTAAAAAGTCCCAAGATTGATTTTTCACCATTTCATAGCAAAAATTATTTTCGTATCTATAAGGAAACTGCTTTTATTTTCTTTGAATCAGTGCCTTGGGCATTAGTGGCTTTCAAGGATGAAATATTAAAAATCGAAGTCTTGATTACTCAGGTGATTTTTTGTTTTTACGTTGGCTTCAGATAATAAGATCCTTTACAGCATGTATACAGTACGTTTAAACAGAAAGTTATCGTTAATTTTAGAAATAATTAAAATTTAAATGGTCACCAGTCAATAACTTTTTTTCGTTTGTCAGCTCATTTCAAGCTTTCATTGCTAAATATTCAACTGTTGTCAGCAGATGAACAAGCTCAAGTACAATACAATAAGTTTTTATTTCGTTCAACATTGCTGACAGTATGCGACGAGGGATCAGCGATTTCAGTATTTTCAGAAAGCTAAGCAATAAAATATGTTCTTGATGGGGAAACACTTTACCTGAGATTTAAGTTTGAAGTGCTTCCGCATTGTTCCAGAGGTGCTGAAAAACGGAAACACTCACGGAACACGAACCTCAAAAGCTTTTCCTCATCACATAATCGATGGATACTTTCTGCATTTTATTGTCGAGAAATTTATTTATTAATTCAGAGGTATCCATATTTTATTATCTGC